GCAGTAATCCAGTAAGTGAAGTATTTCTCTGCATTCTATGGGCCATGCTAGCAAATTAATTGAACCCAAGGAGAGGGTCGTTGGAACCTCCCATCTACAGCCAGTCGGTCAGAAAGAAGCACCTGGGATTACGACCGGCATCTGAAGTGTGGGGATGAGGGGGACACAGGGCAGTCTTGTGGGACTGAGCCCTTACCTAACCAGGAAAGGATCTGATGGTATCAGGCAAATTTTTTTGAGAGCCAATTAACTACCATACCATTGGTGTCTCAAAGGAAGGAAGGGAAGGAAGAAGGGAGGGAGAGAGGGAAGGAAAAAAAGGGAGAAAGAAAGGAAAAAGGACAGACCTAAAGAACAGACAGAAGGCAAGCAATTACCAGAACTGTTCTCCACCCACTACGTAAAGTGTCCCTATTCTTTTATACCCCACTTAAATCCTTTGTCTTTTTTTCTTTTTTTTCATTTTTTTAAGATTTTATTTTTTAAATATATTTTACTGATTATGCCATTACAGTTGTCCCATTTCCCCCCTTCATTCCCCTCCACCCTGCAAACCCCCTCCCCCACCATTCCCCCCCTTTAGTTTATGTCCATGTGTCACAAGTTCTTTGGCTTCTACATTTCCCATACTATTCTTGCCCTCCCCCTGTCTATTTTCTACCTACCATCTATGCTACTTATTCTCTGTTCCTTCTCCCCCCTTCTCCTCCTCCCACTCCCCTGTTGCTAAACTTTGTCTTTAATGATTGTTCAATTACCAGCCCAACTCACTGAAAAATCCTCCTGTTATTTTCCCTTAAAACTAATAAATTTCTTAAGCCCTAAGATATTGTCAATTGCAAAAGAACACTATTTCTTTAAAATCGGATTTCAAAGAAAAAACAAATCTTTTAAAATAAACAATATAAAATAAACTTAAGATTTCACAACATTTGGAAAATTATCCTAACTTCAGGAATGCTAAAGTATGAGGGGGGAAATACTTCTAAAAAAACAAAAAATATATATGACTTTATTACAAATTATCTGTAGCTAGCTCGTAATTTTTTTCAAATCATAGACTATCCTAACTAGAATAAAGCTTAGAAACAGTTTATTCCAACACTCCTTTTTTCAGTGGAGAGACTGAGCCTAAGAGCTGATAAGATTCTGAGGTTACAGAGCTAGTTTAATCAGAGAAGAGGAACTTCATTCCTGGACGCCTGATTCTACCATCGTTGCTCTCTCCATTGCTCAAGCAGAAAGGAGTTCAAATCCAGTTTCGGCTCTTACCAAACTGCAACGTGCACAGGCTTCCTGAGGCTCAGGTTCTTCCTGTACAAAACGGACTGGGGTGGTAACAGCTGTCCTACCACAGGTTCTGAAGCACACGGCATCTGCCAGGAGAGGCCGAAGAAATCGTGGCTGTTGTTGTTAAAGAGGGATATGTCTTCTCTAGCCAACTGGATTGTGAACTTTTTTAATATAAGGATGCTCATCTGTAGCACTGTCTATGAGATGCTAAAAATTAGAAACAAATTCCCAATTAATTCCCAATTAATGTTTATTAATTGGGAAATTAGTAAATAAATTATATTCTATCCACACTGTGAATATTAGGCCACCATTAAAAGGAATAATTAGAGTAACTTTGCAGACAGTTCTCCGAGCCTTTTGGCCCATCTTTTTATTCTGTGGCACATTCCAGTATACGATTTAGGAAGTGTAAGCCTCTCTCCCGCCTGATGCACCCCTCCTTAAATTCTTAGGTGCTTCTGTCTACACTTCCCCTTCTTGATTATACAGTCAAGCCCAGACTGAAGTTGAGGTGCATGATTAAAGGATACCAAAGTTCTCGGCAAAGAAAAACATCTGGTACTGGCTCTCTTGTAAGTTCTGTATTCTGTATTCAGGATTATTAACATTGTGACAGTAAAAACCAAGACTCACATACCAGAGATGGCCTTTCACAGGACGGCAGATCAAAAATTCTTATTGTCAAATGGCAAAAGCTGCTTCTAAATCTGAATGACAGGGTCTTCTCATCATTTACACCATCATTTATTCAATAAGTATTAATTGAGGGCCTACTGTATGCCAAGCCTTGTATCTGATGCTAAAGACGCAGTCATGAAGCTGCTTTTTTGTCAGACTCCACATAAAATGCCATGATATGGTGGGGGCGGGGAGAGAAGCTCCACACTTGTATGGCAGATCCTGGGCATCAAGCCTCAGTGTTACACAGAGCAGCTGCACGGTGCTGAAATGTAGTTCGATGCTGGAGAGACAAAATAACTACTAATGAATCACCATAGTTATCTTCAGAGCACTTTGGGACACAGCCTTTGTAACTCGGCAATACAGTTCTTTATTCTACGATGGCATTTAACTTAACTTGCATTCTGCCTTTCCTCTGCCAGGCCAGGTGCAAATATCCACTCCTCACCCAGAAAATAAAATGTATGTTGTGGGGACGACCACTTTCACGTGCCCCCCCCGTGCCACGGACATGGTTAATTTTTCATCATTTCTCTTTCTTTAATATCATCTGAAAACAGCAGTAACTAAGCCCCATCTAATGAAAGAAATGCCCAAATAATTTCTTTCATATTTCAAATCCCTAACTCCCAACACAAGTTTAGTTAATCACATTAATAGATATTATCAAGTACTAAAGACAGTTTATTCTGAGAAAAACACTACCATCCACTGAGAACTTAAAATATATAACTTTCAGGTTTTCTTATTGCCTAAAATAAGATACTTACTAATAAATCCATACAGAACCTTCCCAAGAGAGAAAATTCAGCAGTAATTTCTATAAAACATCAAAAAGGGGGTTCTATTTGGGTGCTATTGATCTTACTCTCATAGTCAACAGGAGCCCAACTGGTTCCTGGAAAAAATACACGTCCTATTAAGTAGACAAATCCATTGGCAGATACAGTTTCAAACACACTGGGACAAGTGCTCCTGATGTATTTCAACCATGAGTACAGATTCTGAAGATGTTACTACATCCTTTAGGCTCCGGTCGGGAAAAGACATTCAAACCAACACTGCCCTTACCTTTGATAGAATCTTCAATCTATAACTGACCACAGCTGGGCTTCTAGTACTTTAAAAAGCATGTCTAATAGAAACTAGACAATATCAAAATAACTTTTAAATTATATCATGAATAGAAGGCAAATTTTTACATTTAAGCTGTTTCTACATGCTGGCCTAGGATGAAAATGAAAAAAACAATTAAATAGACCCTATTGTTCCAGGTACCGGTAACGTAAGCATTAACCCAACACCTCTCTTTGCCCTTCCCATTTACAAGATCCCCGGGCACAGTTATGTGAACAAGAACACAGTAGATATCAACAGAGAAAGGTTACTTCAGATCTGATTAGATCATTAGTAAACCTGATATTTTCAGAAGGATAGACGTGACTAAGTTTGGAGACAGTGTAGCAAGATTAAACACTCCAATTAAAATTCATTAACTCAAAACTGCTCTTGTGTAAATGTATCAAAAACCTGGTCTCATCGATTTCAGTTTAGTTTATTTTTAAAAAGTAAAACTGACATTATATAGGCTAGAATTTCAGAAGATCTCCAAATTCAATGATAATGATTTCCTATAATTATAGTAATGCATTCTATAAAAATATTCAAATATTTCATACATAAAAATATGTAACTCTTAAATTGAGAAGGTACTAACTGGAATCAACCTACGAACAACCACTGAGAGCCCAGAACTACTATATTCTTTTCAATTACCAAAACATTATTGTATAATTAGGCACACACACTTGCTCTAGCAACCTATTAACAATGTAAAAGGAAAAACATTAAACACCGAATAAAGGGAAACCACAGTCCTTGTGTGACAACTGCCAAGTTCAGACAAGTTCAGAATCCACAGCGTCTCCCTAGATTCCCAAACACACCGCTGGTCTTTTCACTGTCTTACGGACCCTGAGCCACATCCTCTGCTACGGAGCCTAACGCATTCTGTGTAGATTATGAAACAGATCATGCTTTCACAAAAGGGACACTGAAAATCATCATAAATGATCCATCGTTAATAACCACCTCATTGCAGTCCAGACTCACTTATCCTTCACCGATTTAAGAACTAAGAGAAACTGGCCTTCTAGATATTAGTAGCTAAGTGAAAGGGACTGTTTCATAGCTCTGGGTTTAATTTTACATTCACTTTCAATATTAAACGTTTGCTTCCTTAAAAATGACCTCATTTGAGCCCAAGTCAGCAGATTACCAGGATGCCTGAACTGCTAAGGCAGCAGTCCGTGTCCAGTCGGAGACGGTCTTCCCGCAGTCTTCCTACCAGAGCCTCCCTGCGATGGCCCACCCTCCCAGAATAAGTTCTGGAATAATCCAAGCACGACTCCTAAACCCTGCTTTTAAACCGAAAGTGGTCTCTTCCTAAATTAGACAAACCACACATTCTCAAACAAGCAACGTTAAACCTCAGAATCAAGGTGACAATAAAAACCCACCAATTGACTTTGTCAAGACTTGAAGCCTCTTTTGAACACATCCCCGAATGCCCCGGGGAACGACAGATGACAACGAAAGGAAACATATTGTCTGGGCTAGGAGATTTGTGCGTCTCCAGTGTGATTCTACAGTATTTGAAACTAGGTAAACTACTACTTTCCAACGTGCCTCGTTTTTTAAAAAAGTAGTATTTCTCTTTTTTCTAAAACAGCTAACACACACAAAGTTAAAAAAAAAAAAAGTCCCAAAAGGTTTGTGAAAGTAAGCCTCCCTCCCACCCGTCCCTGGTCCCTCTCCAAGGACAAATACAGTCGCTTGAGTTGCGTTCCGTTCCCTTCCGCAGACATTCTCCGCACAGGCAAATATGCGCGAGTGTTTTAAACCAATTATCCTGTATTATACACACCTGGCAGCTGGAAAACGCTGCTAAATGCCTCTGGGCTTAAAGAGGGGTGTGCGATGGAAGGAAGGAGCTTTATTCTGAAGCTGTGTTTCTGCGCATCATGCACCTGGTTTTACTTTCCTGTGCAAGGAAGGCGCTTGAAGGTGCAGGGAGAAGGTGAGCCGGCCGCCAGCCGCCCCCTGCTCCGCCACTGCATCCGCACTGCCCTGCACTTTTCTATGTTCCGATGTTTATGTTTTGTATTCTCACTGGGTTAAGTGAAGCACCTCGATTCACCTTCACAAATAAAAATAAACAGCCTAAGTCTGAAGGTAACTTTGAGAACCAGGTGATTTTCCTCCTCCCCGCCGAACACGCAGCCTACCGCCGTGGCGGTGCCCTTTACGAAAGGCTCAGCCTGGCACCGAGTGGCAGGGACCAGCAGAGCAGGGACAGAGCGGCCCGCGGGACGCGGGGACACGGGGACGCGGGGACGCGGGGACGCGAGGCGGAGGTGAGGGCGTCCCGCGCGCTCCGGGCCGCACGTTTCTTCCGCACGAAGGTTGTAAAGTACGAGACCCAAACCCCCGGGTCCTCCCTCCTTTTTCCGGAGGAGATGCCCGGGCGCTGGGGCTGGTTACGAGCCTGAGCCTCCCGCAACTTCAGCCCCGCACCACCCACGGGGACCGGGTCCCCCTCCACGCCGCTCGGCACCCCCAGAAGGACGGGGTTCTCGGCAGCGCCCCCGCGGTCTCCCAGACCCCCGCCCCGGCCTCCCGCGCGCCCCGATCCCCGCGGCCACCGCGGGCGGCAGCCACAAGTAGGAGGGCGGCGCGGCGCTCACCTGCGACGGAGGCGGGGGGCTCCCGGCGCCGGCCGCGGAGGAGGCGGAGGAGGCCATGTTGTGGGGCCGCTGCAGCCGCGGCTCGTTCCGGGAATCCGCTCTCCCCTCCCTCTCCGTGCTCCTTCCCCTAAACGTGGGACTTCTCGGGAAAAAGTTCGGCTGCGGCTCCCGCGACGAGCGCGCCTCCGCGACGCCCGGGGCTCCTCCCCCGCCCGCCGCGGCGCCCGCCAGGTGCCCGCCCGGCCCGTGCGCGGGGGGCGGGCCCGGCCCAGGTGGGGACGCGGCGGCCGCGGCTGCCCGGCCGGTGAGCAGGCCCCGCGGCCGGGGCTCCCGGGGTCCGACGGCGGCGGGACCGAGGGGCGGCGGCTGAGCGGCGGGGGCCTTACCTGGGGAGGAGGGGAGCGGAGGCAGCTCCGCGGTGGAGCGAGGGAAAGCCGTTTCCCGCGGGCTGCTGGATTAGTCCCCTCCATTATAACAAAGGAATAATAACATTCTATGATTATTGATTAATTGAGACTTATTCAAGCGTAAGTGAATAACATCACCATTAGGCAATTTCCCCTTTGCTTTTTTATTATCAATCTACAGGATACCATCTATATGGAAGCAGTGTTTGCCAGGTAACCGCTTCAAAACCAAGGTTCAATAGTGTCCCTTTCACCCCACTGATGTCCCAGCAGCGCCTCGATTGTCCGGGCTACCTGCCCGATTAAAAAATAAAACTAGAGCCGTCTGGGGCGTGAAGTAGGCGCTGAGCCTGATCTAGCAAGGAAATAGGGGCAGGACCTTTGAGTGTCCCTGCGTCTAGGGGCTCAAATGACAAGGCTTTGCGGAACTCCTGTCCCGGCCAAGGCTGAGGGACGGTTGCCTTCACACTGCAGCCCCCACAGAATCGTCTGTGCAGGGAGGGGTGGGGAGGGCGCTTCTGCCCCGCAGGGAGTGTCTCCCACAGGGAGAACCTCTCGCCGAAGTCATGGGAGATGCGTTTAGTCGGGAGATGGAGCTGGGCCAGGGCATTGAATGACAGTGAATCACACTGGCTAGAAAGTTAGTCCCTTTTCAATTCTCTTTCAATTCTAATTACAACAAGAAAGTATTTCTTCTCAGGCACTACCTGCCTTCTCTTAAAGAGCAGGCTCCAGGCTCAAAGCCTTAGGTAAGCACTGACATCTAACTAGAATTTGTAGCATTGTTAAGTTTTTATTGTTTAGGTTCACTGTTTAACGTTACTGTTACTTTCAAGCGAAAGCATGTTTTCCATTCATGGTAGGGATCCAGTTCCATTTTTAAGCAACTGTGCGTAAGGTTTGTTTTCCAATTACGTAAACCAAAAACAGTAATTTTTCACATAGGACTCAGGCAAAGCAAAAATTCTAGCGATGGGTAGGGAATGACTGAAATATCAATGTTTTAGTCAGCTACTGGCAGCCAGAGGCAGAGCTGCTCCTTAACCAGAGAGCAGTGAGTTAGCTGTGCCTCCCATTAACCCCTGGCTTACTTCCTCCATAAGACCCATAAAGCTGAAATCACCTTTCTGAGGCACCAGCTCGATGTTGCACTCTGTGCTGTGCCCTGGACTTACATGATCTCGTTTAGTCCTCACAATATCCTTGCAAGACAGGCAGCACCATCTGGAAACTGAGTCTCGGGAACCCTCCTTTAGCTGAAGCCACCATTAGAGGACCAATGTCTCTAGTTGGGGTATTCTTCACTTGAGATGTTTCAGAATCACTTCAGAATTTAGCAAACATTTTTTAAAGCCCTGGAATTTTATATTAAACTCCATGTGCTGTTTCATGGGAAGTACAGCGTTTTCCTCAACTGTTCAGAAAGTTCTACATCTCCCAAAAGTTTGAGCCACTGTTATTACTTACAGTACAGTCCCACGCCCTGGATTATAAGGTCTGGGGGGGAGCAAAGGCCCTGTCTTCTATCTCCACTGTGCCTAGCCTAGTGCTTCAGCCACTCAGAGGCATTGGTTGAGCTCAAACAGATGTGCGAAGCAGACAATACAGGCAACAAAAATGAGTGGGGTAGCTGGGAGGTGTATCACATTAATAAATCCTGTGCAAACACAGGTACCTGACAAGCTAGCTCACTGGTACCAATACAGCCATAAGCACAGCTTTAAACAAGTGGCAAACAGCCAGTCAGGTAGACAATAGAGGGAGAAAGGTGCAAAAGCTCTATAGGAAGGTAGCACAAGAAGCAGCCCCTGGGAGACTGCCCTGAGAGACGAGCTTTCCTGCAGCGCTATTCCAGTCTGGTCTGTTTATGTGGTCGGCTGTTTCGGAGAACCACTTGCATTGAGGTTACAGACACTTCTCCAGAGACACTGCAACACAACCAAAAAAGCCGACTATAAGTCAGGACTGGGCATCTGGCAGCATCTCTCCTGCCTGAAAAACCCAAAGCTGAACCAAAGACCTTTCCATGCAGCCGATAGTCTGTGACTGCCTCTAATTTTGTCCTTCTCTCTGTTTTTTCTTTCATAGCCCAAGTATCTCAAAGAGTAGTAGTCAACACAGTGCCCCTACTTTTCACCTGCATACTACTTTGTCCACCGTAAGTGGGCCTCTGCCCCTCCTCAGCTATTAAAACTGCTCTTCTCAAATAACAGCTTATCTCCTGTTTGCCATATCCATTAAGGATTTTTCTAGCCCTTATCTCAGTTGATCTTCAAGGGCACTTAACATGGGTGTCAGTGACCTTCTCTTCCCCTTTAAGTATTTGTAGGGTTTTGACCCATCCTTCTTGCTTCTCATATGATACACCGACTCTTTGGGATCTCGACACATTAAGGCTTCGGCTATCACATAAGGACTCACAAATCCAACTAAGACAATTTCCCTGAGCCCCAAACCTATAGTTCATCATGTCCAAATGAAATGCCAAGCAACACGGGCCTCCAAGCCAGAGAAGGAGGCCTGGAGGTCATGAAGGAGAGGACACTGTGCCCTATTCCCTCCCAGTCCAATCAGATACTAAGTCTAAAATCGTTCCTTGAACTCTCTCTAAATTTTCCTTCTAATCCACCCCCCACTACATTTCTGCCTTTAACCTTCTAATTGCTACAATTTATTGAGTAATTACTGTGTGCCAAACCATGCCTGCTTGTATTTTCCATCATCTCCCACTTAAATAATGACAATCCCCTTTTTATTTTGTCTAGTGCATTAGCTCTCATCCAGTATTATGATTTTTCTGTCATTTCAAGTCTATTCACACACTATTGAAAATTGTTGGTAACTGTTTTTATCCTTCAGGATAAAGGTTCGACTTAGCAAGGGTCCCTCCCCACTGCTTCCGCCCACTGTCAGCTGTCCTTCCCCAGCATTCCCGTGCCCTTCCCCATCTCGGTCTCAGGCAAACCACACACATGGCCAGTCCGAATTACTTGCACTTGCCCCAAACACCAAGGTTGTTGCCTTCCTACCAACTGTCCTACTGCCTAGAAAACCTCCATACTCTTCCTCCTCCATCATCTCTGTTGGGTCAACTCCTATTCACCCAACAAGACTCTATTCAGAAAAGACATCTTTATGAACCCTTCTCTAACCCCCTTTTTTTTGTTAGAATGGGGTTCATTGTCTTTTCTTTGTTCCCCAAAAGTATCCTACACCATATCTCTAATTGTTTTGAAGAATAGCTTCACACCTTTCTACAATTTAGAAGTCTTAAAAATTATAAAAACACGCAACCTGAACAATATTGATATAGGCTATTTACAGGAATAGTCTTTATTTCATTTAGTGTGAATGCTCATATGTTTTAATTATGGGGTACTGTCTCAGACCCTTTTATAAGTGTTATATAATATACAGTTGTGTGCACCATATTCATGTCCTAAAATTCAGAATTGTGAAACACATATGCCTTCATGGGTTTCAGATAAAAGATATGGACCTATATAACCATTGCTTTTCTTGGCTGTCTCCCCTTGAAATCAAAAGCTTCTTGAAGCTTCAATTGTATCTTTTTCAGCCCAAATACCCAGTATCTAATGCAATGTCTGGCTCAGTAGAGATTTGCTGAGTAAATCAAAGGTATATTTATGAACTTGGACCAAATTTCATAGGACTGACTCCCAAGGTCGAAACCTGATACCTCTCTTGCTTCCTGCATGGGTATCCCTGCTCTGGGCTACACCATACCTTGCATGCACATCGCATTTCTCAAGGTAGTATAATTGTTTGCATGTCTGTTTCCACTGAAACTGAGCAGGCTGAAAGCAGAGATAATGTAGTCTTTGTATTTCCGGGTTCACAGTGCCCACCAGGCACATTATATTCTGGCTCGGAATATTTTGTTGAATGATAGAAGGTAGAAAAGAACAGAGAGGGAGAGAGGGAAGACAGGAAGAGAAAAAAAGAATAGAAGAAGCCTGGGTAAAGATAATATAATCTCTACTTAAAGGACTCTAATAGTATATTCCAAAGTCAGTCTCTTCACAATATATGGCATATTTGCACATTATTTTTGGTTATTTATTTGTTTTTATTATTTTTATTATTTATTTATTTATTTAAACTAACTTATTATCTAAGCAATTATTTTATTTTGTAATCTCTATTGTTTTCCATTACCATTCAGTCCCCTTATATCTCCCCATGCCCCCCAGCACTCACCTCACTGTTGCCCATGTCCATGAGCCCTTTCTCCTTTTTGTTCAATCCCTCCACCTCCTAACCACCCCCAACCAGCTGTCATCCTGCTCTCCATCTATGAGTCTGTCCCCATTTTCCTTATTAGTTCAGTTTGTTCATTAGATTCCACATATGAGTGAAATTACATGATATCTGTCTTTCTCTGACTGGCTTTCTTACTTCTCATAGGATGCACTGACTCTTTGGGATCTTGTCACATGAAGTCTTCAGCTATCACGTAAGGACTCACAATTCCAACTAAAACAATCTCCCTTAGTATAATGTTCTCCAGCATATTTCACTTAGCATATTATTCTCAAGAGCCATCTGTGCTGTCACACAAAATAAAATTTTCTTCTTTTTATGGCCAAGTAGTATTTCATGGTGTAAATGTCCCATAGTTGTTTTATCCACTCATCTATTGATGGACAGTTGGGCTGCTTCCATATCTTGGTGATTGCAAATAATGCTGTAATCAACATAGGGGTGTTTATGTTTTTTTGAATTAGTGTTTTGGGTTCCTTTGTATATATTCCCAGAAGTAGGATTACTAGGTCAAAAACCAGATCCATGTTTAATTTTGTGAGGTATCTCCATACTGCTTTCCACAGTGGCTGCACCAGCCTACATTCCCACCAACTGTGCAAAAGGATTCCCCTTTCTCCACATCCTCACCAGCACGTGTTTGTTGATTTATTGATGATGGCCATTCTGACAGGTGTGAGATAGTATCTCATCGTGGTTTTCATTGGCATTTCTCTGAAGATTAGTGACATTGATCATCCTTCTATATGGCTACTGCCCATCTCTATGTCCTCTTTGGAGAAATGTCTATTCAGGTTCTTTGTCCATTTTTTAATTGGGTTGTTTGGTTTTTTGGTGTTGAGTTTTGTAAGTATTTTATAAATTTTTGATATTAACTTTTGACCAATCAGTGAATATCTTCTCCCATTCTATGTGTTGGTTTTTTATTTTGTTATGATTTCCTTTGCTGTGCAAAAAATTTTTAGTTTGATGCAGTCCCACTGGTTTATTTTTTCTTCCCTGCCTGGGGAGATATATCTGCTAAAAACTTGCTACAAGCAATGTCTGTAATTGTGCTGCCTATGTTTTCTTCTAGGATTTTTATGGTTTCTGGTCTAACATTTTAGCCCATGATACATTTTTAATTTATTCTTGTGTGTTGCAAAAGAAGGTGGTCTAGTTTCATTTTTCTGCATGTATCTGTCCAATTTTCCCAGCACCAGTTATTGAACAAACTATCATTAGCCCATTGTATGTGCTTGCTTCCTCCATCAAATATTAATTGTTATAAAGTTATGGGTTTATTTCTGGGTAATCTAGTCTCTTCCATTGATCTATGTTTCTGTTTTTATGCCAGTGCCATGCTGTCTCGATTACTATGGCCTTATAGTATAGTTTGATATTAGGTAGCATGCTTCCTCCACCTTTGTTCTTCTTTCTCAGAATTAATGTTGCCATACAGGGGCTTTTGTGATACCGCATACATTTTAAAAATATTTTAAAATAGTTCTATGAAATACATCATTGGAACCCTGATAGGAACTGCATTGAATCTATAGATTGCTTTGGGTAATAAGGACATTTTTATGGTGTTACTTCTTCCTACTCATGAACATGGTATGTGCTTCCCCTTACTTTTATCTTGTTCAATTTCTTCTCCAGTGTCTTATAATTTTCCATGTACAGGCTTTTTACATACTTGGTTAGGTTTATTCCTAGGTACTTTATTCTTTTTGAAGAAACTGTGAATGGGATTATTTTCTTAATTTCCCTTTCTGTTTGTTCATTATTGGCATATAAAAATGCAACTGATTTCTAGATATTAATTTTTTTATCCTGATACTTTGTTGAATTTGTTTATCAGTTCTAGTAGTTTCTTGGTGGAATGTTTGGGGTTCTCTGTGTACGGTATGCTGCCATCTGCAAATAAAGGCAGTTTTATTATTTCCTTTCTAATTTGAATGCATTTTATTTCTTCTTCTTGTCTGATTGCTGTGGCTAGCATTTCCAATACTATGTTGAATAAGAGAAGTGAAAGTGGACATCACTGTCTTGTTTCTAATCTTAAGGGGAACATTTACAGTTTGTGCCTGTTGAGTGTGAGGCTGACAGTGGGTTTGTCATATATGGCCTTTATTATGTTTAGGTGTGTTCCCTCTATCCCCCCCTTTGCTGAGATTTTCTATCATAAATGGGTGCTGGATTTTATCAAATTCTTTTTCTGCATCTATTGATATGATCACATGGTTTTCATCATTTTGTTTATGTGGTGAATCACAGTTATTGATTTGCAAATGTTGTACCAATCTTGTGTTCCTGAAATAAATCCCACTTGATCATGATGTATGATATTTGAAGCATTGCTGTATTCAATTTGCTAATATATTTGTGAAGACTTTAGCTTCTATGTTCATCAGGGATATTGGCCTATAATTTTATTTCTTTGTGGTGTGCTTATCTGGTTTTAGAATTAAAATAATGCTGGCCTTGTAAAAAAGAGTTTGGGAGCCTTCCCTCTTCTTGAATTTTATGAAATAGTTTGAAAAGGAGAGGTATTAATTCTTCTCAAAGTATTTGATAAAATTCATCTATGAAGCCATCTAATCCAGGGCTTTTGTTTGTTGGGAGGTTTTTTTTTTAATTACTGCTCCATTTTCACTGACTAGGTGTAATCTGTCTATTCAGATTCTCTGATTTTTCCTGATTTAGTTTTGGAAGATTGTGTGTTTCTAGGACTTTATGCATTTTGTCCTGGTTGTCCACTTTGTTGGCATATAGTTGTTCACAATATTTTCTTAAAATCCTTTGTATTTCTTTGGTGTAAGTTGTTATTTCTCCTCTTTCATTTCTGATTTTATTAAACAGATTTTATTTTTAGAAGAAACATTATCTTACAGTGTTCATGGAAAATCATATGCACTTGCAGTAAATATGATAAAAACAAGATATTAATTTTTTGTTATATTCTTTATTCTACCTGAGATTCTTTCTTTGTTCTTAGCAAGTTTTAAGGGGGCATGAATACTGGCACTAGATACAAATTTTCTCCTCAGTGGTAACAGAAGGATTGAAAAAGAACAAAAAGGAAGTGTCTTATTATATAATTCAATATTATATAATGCCCTGTTCTTAAGCCACCTGATGTTATCTCAAGAATCACCAGCAAAAGGAGGACTGCATGAACTTCCTTTTTGCCCCTCACTCTGCTTCTACGTTTATAATGTTTCTCCACAACTTCCAGTAGGTATTCTATTGTTTTCACTAGTTTCTACCCTAATAATTAGCTGCTAACTCATGATTATTTCTAAACAGTGGGAATTTTCTACTTTACCATTAGCAAGAGGGAAAAGCTGATTTTCATGGTGTCTACAAAATCTGCAATCAACAAACAAGAGTTAATGCAGAAAGTTTTCACCTGTGAGAAAATTTTCTTTAATTTCAATAGATTATGATTAGTAAATATATATATGTGTTTATCTCATAAAAGAAGCAAATAATAGAAAAGCATTTACCAAATAAGAGAAATATATATTTGGTTACTACTACTCAGGGAACTCTGATTGTATACGGAATGATATCCCTTAATTTTTAAATTTTATGAGGGAAAACAGCTCACCATGCACAAAGTTGAACCAAAATGTTTTCACTCTTGTGGTTTTTGGCCTTTCTCCCCATTTATGGTTTCAACTGAGTAAAAACTCATACTTCTAAATATACAATAAAGATGATGGCTTAGCAATATTTTTATCAAGGTCAACTGGAATGAGAGTATAATGTTTATTTATTAAGTTTTGCAATCCCATGTGGAATATGGTTAAATAACTTATTTGAGTGCCTACTTTCATTACTTAATTCCTTAAATTTCTTAAACATTTGACCAGAAATGGAGATTATTCTGATATCTGCTATGGAATAAGAAACATTGTCTGACTGAACTTATTTGAGATAACTAACTATTGATTTAAAAAACCCAATCACAAAGTAGTTTGTGACATGGGATAATAAACTTCATAGTAATAACTCACTTCATAATAATAATAAACCTTATAGGAAGGTTAAAGATCGGTATGGGGAAGTCTACCTTATCTGAACATTTTGATTACAATAACTTTTTATCAATTCCTCTTTCACCTGTGGTTTCAAAAATAAATAAAGTTTGATAACATGAATAATGGTGTATATCAACCTCGGAAATGCACATAGAAAGTTAACATAAAGCAGAACTAACTAATTAGCAACAGGAAATAAATTGGTAACTTGCAGTCACACATTAATAAGGAAAAGCTGCCTTTCCTTCTTACCCTTGCCCAAATTCCTGGTGAAATGAACTGTGGACTCTAGTTGAAGGAGCTTAGGAAAGAAAGAGAAAGAGAAAGTGTGCTTTGTTCATTGGTGCGGCACCTAAGACACAGGGGAAAAGGAATACAAGGAGGTGACACCTTAAGTCAACATTTGGGAGAATAAAGAGGAACAGACTTTCAATTAGAATAGTTTCTTCCTTCCCATACGCTTCTTTCAGTGTCTTCTTGCTTCTTTACTCTCCCCTGTTCTGATTCTGCTAAACCAGAGCCAGGCTCCCTGAACCTATGTATGTTTTCATCATTGTCCTGAACAAAGGGAAAATACAATCAGTAGCCCTTTGACCTAGTCCATGAATGCTTTGCTCCCAGCTCCAGTGGAATTGCCTGATTCAGTCTTTGTGCTTTATGAAGCTGTTTCCAATGGCCTCAGGCGGGACTTCGGCACCTAGGAATTCTAATTGTATACCACTATGCGACATAGGACCTTGGACTTCAAATCTGACTTTTTAAATTCAATCTGGAAATAAATCAGAATCAATAAAAAATAGAAACACATGAACATCACTTCCCAACATTCCCCCCAAATACACCCTTAGGAAGTGCCAAAAATTTCTGGTCAGTGGATAATAACTGATCATTTTATTTTGCCATACTTTTTCCCTTGCCCCCTCTTTTGGTTATAATATATAGGTTACTTAAATGTCACATTGTAAATTTTGGAGAGCCATATGAAATTTCTGGACACTCTCAGGATACTAATACAACCATAATTAGGATCACTGACTTAATAAAAACTGATAACTAGCAAAGCAATCTTGGTAATCTTCAGCCCAGTGCTATTCTTCTCCATATTATCCTGACTTTCTCATTTCAACACATAACTGTGGTTCTTGCACATATAACAAAACAAGTTTCTATACTGAAAAGGGATGCCATACCCAAGCACCATTCCCATCACAGTTATAGTAGAGTCGAATATTTATATTAATATTTTTGGCAGATGGCAATTAAAGTCTAAGAAAATCAATATATTTTTTAGTGTCCTGAAGGAGAAGGTCTTTCTTTACTCATACATAGACACTGGCACAGTCTTACAGGTCTTACCCATAAGGAAACATTAAACTCAAAGCCCCATGAAAGCAGAGAGACTTTCCTATTTATCATTGTATGTCCCAGCTCCTAGCATTAACTTAGCACATTTTGATACTAAAGTAGTATTTGTTGACTCCCTGGCTGAATTCTTTATTTATGGCTCTTCCAATTTATTGATATGCATCTTTTCCTTTGCTTATCCTCTTTTATGCTGAATTTGAAAATTTATATTTCTATTCTGTTCATCAATAAATGTAAAATATGAATAGAATGGAAATATAGAGACACTATGTAACTGTTATGTAGTACGATGTATTGGCTTATGTGACAATGACACTTGAAATTTACTTCAAATGCCTCATTTTACAAATCACCTTTTTACAGCAGGGGGCCTTTTCTTTTGAAGAGCATTTGAAAAATATAGGACCTGACATGCCATTAATTATCTCTCTGAACGCACTGCCTCCCAGGTGTACAGGTATCGTTCATCTCTCTTACTTTCCTCCTCCTCCTTATTACCATCTAAATCAGAGGTCAGCAACCTTTTTCTGTAAATGGCCAGGGAGTACATATTTTAGGTTTAACGGGCCATACAGGTTTCTGTTAACAACTACCCAACTTCACTATTGTATGGTGAAAGCAAGGCTACCTAAACCACGGGCATGACTATGTTCCAATAAAACTTATTAACAGAAATAAGCCCTGGGCCGAGTGAGCCATAGTCAGCTAACTTTTCATCTAGATTGCCAGCGCCCCATCCTTTGGCTTTGTAGAATGTCACTTTGTATGTGCTGGACACTCTATTTCATTTCATTTTATCCTCCCAACAAATCTCCAAGATGGATATTATGATCCACTTTTATGAGTGAGGAAATTAGGGCACAGCAAGCTGAGTTGACCAGCTTCACCTAGCCATGAGCCAAGTAGCCAGGTCTGTCTGTGTGACAGCCCCACCTTGTTCAGAGGCCACCATCCCTCACCTGGAATATTGCCATTGCATCCTAACTGATTCTTGATTTCCTTCTTCGTTCCTGTATATAATCCCCTCTCCTCACAGCATCAACAATAGTTTTACCTTTGATGCAAATTAGATTATGTGACTTCCCCACTCAAATGCCTTCAGTGTTTTCTATTGCCTTTGGAGTGAGAACCAAATTCTATATCCTTGCCTGCAAAGCCTGATGTGGTCTGGCCCCCTGCCTGCTTCTCTGACCTCACCCTCTGCTCTATTACCCTCCTGCAGTTTCCAGCCACCTGACCTAAGTTCTGTTTCTGAGCTGTCCCACTGTGATGTAGGTGCTATCCATAGAAGCAGGGCTCTCTATCCCTCTTATTCACAGCTACCTCATCAGAATATTCAGTAGTGCTTGGCATATCTTAAGGATTCCAGAAATATTTATAGAAACATGCTAAATGCATGTTTTGTAACAAAAATCCCATGCTCTTCATCACACTTGACCACTTCCCAGGACTGGTTGAGGCTATTTCTCATGAGACATGCCATAGCAGTTGGTTGGGAAAATATTTGGTTTGTGCTGTCCCAGCCACATCCCTTAACTTTTAACCCCCGAGACATACAAACACAAAATACAACAACTCTGTGTGGTTACTTAGTTCAGTCACCAAACATGATGCTCCATTTAAAGAACATTACCCTCCAAAGTGGCAGCCCCATTTTGAGGTGGTTAAACTTCCACTGTTTAGATAAATAGCCTTGCTGAAGCAGTTTAACTATTAGAATGCCATTCTTCAAAAGTCTCATTAAAATAAAAAAAAATACCTTCTAGAAAGAAAACAACTTTTATTTCACACTGAGTTCAGAGGAAATCAACAGGAATTTGCCCATAAGACTGCCCTGCCATGACAAAGGTCATAGAGGTGTTTCTCTTCTTAACTAGATTATAAATTCTTCAAGAGGAGGGACCCTGTTTCTTTGCTTTCCCGTGATGTTGAACACACACACATTTAATACTCCATGTCTTAAATAAAAACTAAGGGAGGGCAGGAAACTGTGGAAGTGATTGATTTCAAGTCAGGTGAGAGGATTCTGAATCTGAGCCTGTTAAGAGGAATCAGTAAACATTTGTTTTAAAATACTAGAGCAGTGGCCCACTTCCAGTCAAGATGGAGGTGTAGGCAAACATGCTTCACCTCCTCGCACAACTACAGAAAAAATTACAGCTAGACTACAAAATACATATCACCCAGAACCATCAGAAGATCAAGCCATGTGAAAGTCTGACAACCAAGGATTTAAAGAAGCCCCACTCTTACAGATGGGTAGGAGGGGCAGAGTTGCAGAGAGAGGTAGAGAGGGGCATGGAGGCTCAGAGCCAAGGAGTGATGCAGAGAAGGGGTGGAACTGGTGGTCCTACATTCACTTGTGGTGGATTAAAATCAGGAGGGATACCTCAGGAGAGAGGGATGCCAGCCCCAAACCAGACCACCCAGCATCCCAAGGTTCAAGCGCCAAGAAGATAAATCCCCATTAATTTGGGGCTATAAAAAACAGTGGGAGTTGGGGCCATGGAAACTGCCTGATTCTCAGGAGACTCCTCTTAAAGGACCTACACAGACTTAGAACTTACACAGACCCACCTCCTCTGAGATTCGGCACCAGGGCAACAGTGGGAAGAGCACAAGTAGCATACAGGGAGAAAGTGAAGTGACTGGAAACAGGGCAAGTGCTGGGGGACAGCTTCCACCCAGGCAAACCTCCAGAAGCCAAGCAGCATCATTGTCCCCTCTCTGTACCCTCCCCCAACACAGAGCCACAAAGCAGCGACACAGGTTGCCCCATCCTAGCAATCACCTAAGACTCTTTCCCACACAATTTACAGGTTTTATGTTCTATAATAAGCCATGCTACTAAGACAGGGAGTCAAAACATCATTACCTAATACACAGAAGCAAACACAGGGAGGCTGCCAAATTGAGGAGACAAAGAAATATGGCCCAAATGAAATAACAGAACAAAACTCCACAAAAAGAATTAAATGAAACAGACATAACCAACCTATCATGCAGAGTTCCAAACACTGGTTATCAGGATGTTCAAAGAACTCATCAAGTATGGCAACAGCATAAAAAAGACCCAGGCAGAAATGAAGGTTACATTAAGCAAAATAAAGAAAAAATCTACAGGGAACTGACAGTAAAGGGGATGAAGCTGGGAATCAAATCAATGATTTAGAACATCAGGAAGAAAAACACACTCAATCAGAACAGCAAGAAGAAAAAAGAATTACAAAAAGAAATGGGGATAGGATAGGAAGCCTCTGGGACATCTTCAAAAGTACCAACATCTAAATCATAAAGGTGCCAGAAGGAGAAGAGGAAGAGCAAGAAATTCAAAAATTATTTGAAAAAAATAATGAGAGAAGACTTCCCTAATTTGGGGAAAGAAATAGACATACAAGTGCAGGAAGCACAAAGAAGTGCAAACAAGTTGAACCCAAAGAGGACCACACTAAGACAAATCATAATTAAAATGCCAAAAGTTAAAGATAAAGAGAGAATCTTAAAAGCTGCAAGAGAAAATCAGATAGTTACCTACAAAGGAGTTCCCATAAGACTGTCAGCTGATTTCTGAAAAGGAAACTTTACAGGCAGGAAGGGACTAGCAAGAAGTAGTCAAGATGAAAAGCAAGGACCTACAACCTAGATCACTCTATCCAGCAAAGCTATCAGTCAGAATTGAAGGGAAGATGAAGTACTTCACAGACAAGGTAAATCTAAAGAACAAACTGACAATAACCAGGGGGAGATTGGAGGAGATACTGAAGGGATTAGGGGAAATGGTTGTCAAGGAACATGTATAAAAGACACATGGGCAAAGCTAAAGGGGGGTAGGATCAAGGGTGGGAGGTGGGGGATGGTTGGGGTGGGGGCAAATGGAGACAACAACAATAAAAAAATAAAAATAAAATAAAGGAGTTCATCGCCATCAAGCCAGTGTTACATGAAATGTTAAAGGGACTTATTTAAGAAAAAGAAGATCAAAACTATGAACATTGAAATGGTAACAAATTCACAACTATCAACAACTAAATCTGAAAAAAAAACAAACTAAGCAAACAACCGAAACACAAACAGAATCATAAGTATGGAGATCATTTGGAGGGTAATCAGGTAGGAGAGAGAAGGGAAAGAATGGGGGGAAAAGTACAGGGACTAAGAAGCATAAATTGGTAGGTACAAAATAGGGTGATGTTAAAAACAATATAGGAAATAGAGAAGTCCAGGAACTTATATGCACAACCCATGGACATGAACTAAGGTGGGGGGATGCTGGAGGGAATGGGGGTACTGAGCAGAGTGGGAGAAAGGGGGAAATTGGGACAACTGTAATAGCAAAATCAATAAAATATATTACAAAAATAAATTAAATACTAAAGAGCATAGTTGTGGTAAGAGGCTGAGGTTGGGATTAGGATTTAGAAGAGCTAGGCCCTATTCTGCGGCCCTAAATGATGGGTGAAACATTTCCAGTTTCAGTTTCCTTCTCTGTTAGAAATGAAGAAAGATTCAACAATGTTATCTTAAGGATCTCTTCCAATGCTAACACTGTATAATTTCACCAAGACTTTAACTCAAGCAGATGAAAAGATAAGCCTCAAATTCAGTTAAATAAGCCACATTAATGTACACAAATTGGTACAAAGAATATAGAAAAAAGAGCAACCAGAATTTTTGGAGACACTTGGACATGTGTTGTTCATTTACTCACTTGTTCATTTTCATTCATCATTGAAAACTATGTTCTTGAATTCTCACAGGTATTTTACTAGATGTGGTGAAAGGACTAAATCCTAGGGTCTAGGACTAAATCCTTTTTTTTTTAAGTATCCAGACTGTTCTGAGCTTTCTAAACAGATAGGAGGGAGCACAAGAGACTTGGAGTATAGATACCTGCTTCTGGTCCCGGCTCTGCCTCCAGCTTTCTGTGTAATACTGATTCTGGGCACTCTGCCCCCTCCTCCAGAGAGAACATGGCTTTGCCTACATGGAGGATGCCCTGACCACAGTGCTCAGAAGAGACCATTCCTACCTTGGTGCTCCAAGGGATCTATCTGCCAGGTCTCCTTTGCCACAGGGTGACAGGTCGGCCACAATGCTTTTAGATATTTAGATGCTCCCTTCCTAGAACTAAACTTGATGACATGAGGACATTGAAGACAATGTGGTCAATGAATGTCACCAAACATAAGACTATTTCTGTTTAGACGCAGCAGAAAGTTAATAATGGTTTTCCCGAAGTAGAGTATACCCAGAAGATATATGTGACATTATCAATCATGAGTATGAAGCCAAAATAAACTTTCTAAACACATTTGAATCAACCTAGAGGAAAAATTGACTTATCTTTCCATTTTCTATACAGAAAATATTGCAAAGCTGTTGTCAAATTTCATCCCCATGAAATCTGGGTCATGCCCTCAGTATAATCCATACCAAAGGAAAGGAATCTAGGCAAGACGAGCATCAGTATGGTTAGGGAAGTCTTCCCAAGTGAACAGGATGGGACCTAGGCATTAATGGATGGGTAGAATTCAGAAATTGCTAAGTGGATTCACAGCTTAGGAAGCACCCCATTGTCAAAGGCATGCCATTGCCAAATGTTTGTCTCCTAGTGTGTCACAGTCCGCTGGTTGGTCTGGGGTCACTGGAGAAGAGCACCATGGTCAACTGGTGATGCCTGCTGCAGGTCAGAGCTAAGGGTAAGGGACCATGTGTGTCCCACGCTTACCTCACCTGCTCAGAACTCTCAAAGAGCTGTTTGCAACATCACAACAAGAACCTTTTGCCCCAGCTGTTCCACTAATACTGAGGTGTTCTAGTACCAAGATGGGAAAAGATATATTTTCAGGAGAGGGTCTTTTCACTTTCTTCCCAAATCCCACCACCCTTCAGCTCCTCTGCTTCTCAGACAGCAGTGTGTATGTGCTTGAAGGGGAGTTTGTGGAGTTTCTGGGATTATATCAATGCAGTCACAGAGGCCCGCACAGGGGCCTATAAAGGGAGGACGAGAGGGGGTCAATTTGGCAGGATGCTGGTGAAGAGGAGCTCAATCTACAAGGGCTTCTCCATGCATGTACCTCCCCTACTCACTCCCCTTCTGACCACGGCTCCTTTATTGTCTCATTTCTAGAAACAAGAAGATATGTGGGAAGATGAAGATGAAGAAGCCAGACATCTGTGTGGCTTTGAAGCACTCTGGGGACAAGGGGATGGAAAGGCCAAAAAGACTGTCTCCAGTTGCTCAGCCCCAGGTCGCCAAACCTGTGGGGCTGCTGTACTCCATGTACGCACACATCACAGACATAACGATAATAATAAAAGTTCACATTAATTAAGACCTTACCATATGCTAAACACTATGCTAAGTATTTGGGGTACATTTTCCTGGGGTCAGAAATAATACAACAAAAGAGAGAGACTTTGGCATCAGGCCAACCCCGGTTTGAACTTGGGCTCCACTGCTGATCACCTATATGATTTGGGGTAAAATAGTTTATCTCTGACCCTCAGCTAACACATACATAGGAAGATATCATAATAATACCTACTTTTCATTGTTTTGGTAGTAACTAGAGATACTGTGTGTAAGGCAACTGCCACAGAGGAGGCCTTTCCTTAAACAGGTATTAGTGCTCCATGATTAGAGTTATCACCATGGACCCCTGGGGAAAAGGTCGTCAGCTGCCAGAGATAGCGGGGCCAAAGACAGTGCACGAAGGTTACGGATACAGGCTGTGTTTGGTGCATCGGTGGGTCCCCGTGGCTACAGGACTAATGGTGGAGTCAGAAATGACAGGTCATGGAGCTTCCCCTACAATAGCAACACAAATGTCCTTCCAGGGCCTTGATGAGATCACATGTCTCTAGTCCTAGGATGGACTTGGAGTCACACAGGGGACTGAGGGAGTAGGCTTGGGCACTCCACCCACTCCCAGACCACTCCCTCCACCCCTCCCCAACTCTAAGTCCTGTTCTCAAGGTGCCCTGTGCACAGCTGGCAGTCGCCCAGTGACATTTAAATAGACGCACTCATGATACAATGAGTCTTGGGCTAAACCCTTTAGCTACTAAGGCACAGGGCCTGTCAAAAAGTTGCCATTTGAATAGATAATCATGAAACTCTCTAGAATCTAAAGAAAAGCAACTCTGATGTTGAAGGGTAGGCAGTGTGATTCCATGGGCCAAGAGCCCCCATTTGGCATTGAAATCTTCCACTTTAGGAACTAGGAGAGTATCATTCTGATCTGAGCTTGGTGTATTACTTTCCTATGGCTGCTGTAACGAATTACCACAAACTAGATGACTCACAAGAGCAGAAATGTATTGTCTTACAGTTCAGTGTTTGAGATGAGTCTAATGGGGCTGAAATCAAGGTGTCAGCAGGGTGCATTTTTTCTGGAGTCTCAAGGGAGAACTTGTTCCTTGCTTTCCCACCTTCTGGAAGCTGTCCTCATTTCATGGCTCACGGTCTCACATCTCATCGCCTTTTCTCCCCCTGCCTCTGTCATGACACAACCTCCTCTCTGTCATCAGATCTCTCTGCCTTCCTCATAAGGACCATTGTAATTACATTTAGGGCTACCTGGAAAATCTAGGATCATCTCTCCAACTCCAAGTCCTTTAACTTAATCATATATGCTGAGTTTTAATTGCTATGTAAGGCAACATCGACAGGTTCTAGAAATTAGGATCTGGAGACCTTTGGGGGCCATTATTCAGCCCACTACACTTGGTGTGTTAAAAAAATGGCATAAGCTGCCTCATTTTTTCAGTGATGCAGCAAACACACATTGGAGCCTGGCAGGGGAGACCAGGCAGATCACTTGGCTCACCAGGTGAGGCATGTTCCAGCCCTAGGGCCGGGATCCTATCAGGTTCCTTCTTTCTTTTTTTTTTTTTAAAGATTTATTTATTTATTTTTGGACAGAGGGGAAAGTAGGAAGAAGGGGAGAGAAATATCAATGTGTGGTGGCCTCTTGTGCGCCCCCTACTGGGGACCTGGCCCGCAACCCAGGCATGTGCCCTGATTGGGAATCGACCCGGAAACCCTTTGATTTATAGGCCAGCACTTGATCCACTGAGCCACACCAGTCAGGGCCTCTCAGGTTCCTTCTTAATGGAAGGAAGGAACAAGGGAACAAGGTCCTTCATCTTACCAATGAGAAGACTAATTATTCACAAAATGCCATAAGGTGATTTGGCCAGGTTATTCAACTAGACTAGAGCCCATGGTTCTCTGTTTCTCTCAAGAAACAGAGAACTCTGAATTCAATAGTTACTTAATAAATATCCTTAAGCTTCTAAGTTAGCAAATGTTATCTCCTTTATGGAAGGAGTATGGCAAACACCTCCTCCACTGAAAGCCAGTGTGGAAAACTCACCTGTCTGTGGGTGGAACGGTGACGTGAACATGAGTTGGAATGCTGTGTGTTTTTATTTGAGTCCAACTCCTTTGTTCCTTGAGGTCTGGAAACTTCCTCATAGCCCTTTTCAAGCTCAGCTGGCATTGCTGGTGGGATGGAAATAGTCAAGAAACATTGATCTTTCTGGAGAGAAGGAGAAATAAACCAGTAATTCTGCACGAGGTGGGCCCACTATCTCAACCAGATTCACCTGGAGAGTTTTCACTATGCCGTAGTGCTGCTCAAGTCACAATATCTGGAGCTGAAGCAGCCGCTCACCTGGAACTTATTAGAAATGCAAATTATTGGGCCTCACCCCAGACCCAAGCAGGAGCCTGGGGTTGGGCCCACGAATCTGTTTCAATAGGCCCTACTGGTGATTCTGATGTAAGCTAGAAAGTGAGACCCATTTCCTGAAGCCAAGGCCAGACTTCTCTGCGTGAAGGGGGTAGGAAGGCAGGAGGGAAGAGTGAGAGCAGGGCTTGCTTCTGAAGTTGAGAATGGCCTTGGAAATAATTATGGTTAAGGCTGTGTCTTCCCAGGTGTGTTGTGGTAGAGAATTCTGACTTCACGATCACTAACGGGACAAAAGAAATTGGCAAAGACTTAAATAGTGGGGGTAATGCTTTGAAAAGTATTCAGGGAGATCCAGAAGTTCTAGATGACAGCAGGGGGCAAAATTTCAACCAGTGTGGAGATAGAAAGAGATTTGGGATATATATTTTCAAAAGTCTTCCTTCCCAGTAACCCAGAGACCTGAAAAAAATTGAGGTTCTGTCTTTAAACAACAGAGTGAAAAAAGAAAAGGAAGATGGGTTCTCAGCTGCCAAATCATCACAACAGAAACTTACTGGGTGACAGCAGTTGCTGTTTGTTAAACTGATGAAAAACTCATTAGGAGCCCCTGTTGGAGGCTGGGGTCAGGTCCCTTCAGTGGTGGGGAGTGTGCAGTACAGTTAGAGAGGGTTCTTCTCTCCTCTGAGGTCAAGGAGTAAAATATGAAGAGAGATAAGAGATAGCACTCTTCAAACTTGCCAGAGGCAGAAATTGCTCCTCATACCTGATTGGACATAGATCTAGGGCAGACATTCTCAGTGGGGGCTATTTTCCCCAGGACACATTTCCCAGTGTCTGGAGACGTTTATAATTGTCACCGCTTGCAGGGTTGCTGCGGGCATTTAGTGAGTTGAGACCAAGAGTGTGGTTGAGCACCCTACAATGCACAGGGGAGCCTCCCACAAGAATGATCTGCCTCCAAGTGTCAACAGTGGTGAGGTCACTGAAATGTTGCTCTAGGGTGAGGTGTCCTGAAAGCCCTCGTCTCTGTCCTATATTAGGTGTGTCTTCTTCCAGGACACCTCTGGCTTCCAGGCAGCAAAAATTGTCCCTGTTAGTGGAAGTGACTGAGAACAATTAGAAGCAGCTGGGAGACAGAGACAGAGCTAAAGACCGATGGGAGGACTCACAGGAGAGAAAACCCAGTCAACAGGTCAGATAGACAACCCCCGATCTTCTCCCTCTCCAGGACCTCGGTGCCCTGAAATCCAGTCAGCTTCCCCCAGCTCATGCTGGTGTGCGGGCAGCGGCTGTCTTCACATCAGCACCTCCAGCCTTGCAAGGACGTCCTTCCAGAGGACACGACTCCCTTTGGGATGAGAAATCTTTAACCAACCCTTCAGAATGTCAAACACAAACTACACCCAACTTGAATTGTCAGCATTGTTTCATTGTTTAACTAGTGAAGGTAAAACCTATTCATTACAAAAGAAGCCCTGTTATGCCCTTCTCTGTGACCCTGTGCAATGAGAGATCCGAGGTGCCAGGATTTTCCACTCGATGTGTGCCAAGAATGCCCTGCATATTAAATATAAAGATCTATCTACTTCCTGTCCAGAATTGCCCAAGGCTACCAAATGCTTAATTAAGAGACTTTAAAATTCAACTTACTAAAGGTACAGAAGAAATAAAATTCTGATTTTACCCTTCTGTGGTATTTTTTTACAATGGCTCATATTTAAATATAGTCCCCCAACTTTTTTGTCCACTTAATTAGCAACAAAGATGTAAAAATTTGCAGGTAAAGTATAATTTTTTTTGGATTACTGTCGATTTTATTGCTTTTCTAATTAGAGTTGGGTAACATTTCCAAGTTTGCCTTAATTTCTTAACCTCTTAATTAAAATTGTCTGGAATTAAATTAGCCTCTAATTAATTCCCCTATTTATTCCTTCATTTTACAAGTAAAGCAGTTGACATAAAAAAAAAACTGTGGTATGGTTTTCATAAATTAAAATTAAAGCAGTTGTAGGGGTTTTGCTTTTGTTTTTTAGCTGAGTAATTTGACTCAGTCCAAGGGCGTGCAACTCATTTTCACTGGGGCTCACCTTAGCCTGGTGGTTGCCTTCAAAGGGCAGAATGTAGTTTTAGGACTGTATAAAAGTAACTACTCCTTAACTAGGGGCAAGGACCTCAGCACCACCCCTGGGTAGGAACAAGGTACAGGTTGCATAAAACAAGGAGGGTGGGATTCGGCCCTGGGGCCTTGGGTTTGTCACCTGTGACTCAGTCCTTCAGGCTGTGTTTTTCCGGGAGCCCCACCTGGTCAGTTGGAGCACTGGAGAAATTCCACTCTGGCCTCTGGGCCTTCAGATACCATGAAGGATAAGCCTACAAACCTCCCTGGTTTTAAGGAAGTTTTCAGAATTAGAAAGAAGAAATGCTATCAATATACTTGGTCATGGATTTATTTGGTCTGATAAAATCACAAGGACTATAATTCCCTCGGAATAAAAAATGGATATACTTTGAAGCTTGTTGACTGTTTTCTGGTCACTGAGTCATGTGCAATAATGAGGAAGTGACCCTGACCGAACACGACTACTAAAGTCAGTGAAAGGAATTCCTGTGCCTAAGCCATC